CTAAGGCCCTGGTTCAAATAAAGTGGAGGAGCCAGACTTCTAACCCCAGCAGCTCAATTTAAAAGGCCATGGCCTTAGCTAAGGTATACAATTGCCTCTCTCAGCCCAGGTGAAGTGAGTCCTTGGCTTACAGAGGAGCTGGGTGGCTCCCAGGGTAACAGGGCAGGACTGGTTGGGACCCATGAAAGTGTATACATTTGTTAAGAAACAAATGATCAAATATTGGAAACTGGCTTTGTAATGGCCAGACTGTGTCATCCAAACAGTAGAAATACTACAGGTATTCACCAGAGAGGAAACCTAGTATCAGTAGTTTCACAGAAGAGGTACAACTTGAGCTTGACCTTCAAGATGGGTGGAACTTGAATAGGTAGAGAAGTGATTCCTGGGGGTGGTGGGGAGGATAGCAGGAGCAGAGACCCAGATGTGAGGGTGAGAATGCTCCTTTGTGGTCAGTGGGGAGCTTGGCTTGGCAGAAGAGCCTTACTTACCCTTGAAGGCCCCCAGAAGAGTGTTGCTTGAGGGAAATGACACTGGAAGAGAAGTAAGCAGGAGGACCTGACTGGGAAGAAGAGCCACTGGAGTGCAAAGCGCCACAGGAACTGGTAGTGCAGGTCTCCAGGATCATGAAGTGCTTTGTACACCTCCCATCCCGGTCCATGTTTTAGTAGTGTCTGCCTTCCTCCTGGGACTCCACAGAGCATATCAACATGATGGAGTTGATTAAGAAAGATGTTGCAAAACCACAGAGACGAGAATTGATGACTGAGTGAATGTGAGGGAAGGAGATGGGTGACTCACATATGACTCTGAGTATATTCTTGACTTTTCCCGAAATGCCTGTGCCTCTGCCAGCTCCTGTGATTATAGGAGAGAGCAAAAACAAAATGCCTTGTACCTGTTCCATGAGACTACCAACCCTCACAATTTCCTCTCTTTTGAGCACCTATAGTATTTACTGTTTGAACTACATAGTATTTACTGTTTGAACTACACAGTCTGGATAAGAAAAATAATTGTATTAACTCCTCATTCATGTAAGATGTGGTACTAAATGGCTCATTTGGGGTTGTAATTTGGCTAGTGGAGATACTTGGGTCCCTTCCTCCTTCCCACTTCCCTATCTGAAGTCAAGGATGAGCCCCTAAGAAATTGTTGAAAACAGATGCCTAAAGAAGGCAGAAGGGATACATGGCTGTCTCAAAGGCCATGGGTGCATAACAATTTCATAGAAAACCAAAGCAAGTGTTTATAACCATTTTGTCCCTTAGAAAAAAGAAAATAGCTAACACTTATGTGGCACTTGCTCTGTGTGTGCGCTGTTCTAAGCATTTTGCCTGTATTAACTCATTTAATCTTCATAATAACCCTTTGCAATATGTTGCTTATTCTCTTGTTATTGGTGAGAAAACTGAGGAATAGAGTGGTTTAAGTACCTTGCCAGTTAGTAAATAGCAGAGCTGAGATACAAACTTGGGCAGCAGTCTGGCTCCAATCTATTCTCTTAAACACTACTGTACACTGAAATTAAGCATGAAGGGCTGTTAGAGACAAGAAGTATAGTCACCACTTATTATGTGTATGTCTGGGTATACACACAATTCACATCTCTTCATATATAAACGTGGAGATTATATTTTAAGTTTTAGAGAATATGTGATTTTTGTGGCAAAGTACAGATGGTCCCCAACTTAGTTATGATCTTACAATTTTTCAGCTTTACCCAAAACAATACACTTTAATAGAAACTGTAGTTTAAATTTTGAATTTTGATCTTTTCAATCAATTACATGAGCTACTCAACATTTGGCTGTGGAAGCTACTGTAGACTCAAGTAAGTTTTTTGAGCATGTTTTAAGTAGTGTAGGCTGGGCTGGAGATTTAGCTCAGTGGTTCTGGTGCCTGCCTCGCAAGCGCAAGGACCCAAGTATGATGCCCGGTACAAAAAAAAAAAAAAAAAAAAAAAAAAAAAAAAAAAAAAAAAAAAAAAGAAAAAAGAAAAGAAAAGAAAAGAAATCTTAAAGTAGCCTAGGCTAAGCTATCATGTTCAGCAGGTTAGATATATTAAACGTATTTTCTTTTCCCTTTTAAGAGTTGGGGTCCTGCTATGTTGCCAAGGCTGGCCTTAAATTCCTGGATTTAAGTGATCTTCCCACACAGTCTTCTGAGTAGCTGGAACTATAGACATGCACCAACATGACTACTTGCAAATGAAGCTTTGACTTACAGAATTTTCAAATTTTATGATGAGTTTATTGAGATATAACCCCACTGCAAATTAAGGAATAGCTAACAACATAAAATTCACCAATCCAAACATTTATGAGTATACAGTTCAATGTTATGTTCATAATGTTTGGCAACTGTCACCACTATCCATCTTTATAACTCTATCTCATCAAAACTTTGAGTCTATACTCATTAAACCAATAACTTCCTAGTCCCAGTTCCCCCTGCCCTGGTAACTACCATTTTACTTTCTGTTTCTATAATTTGGGCTATTCTAAGTTCTTCATATAAGTGGAATTATACAGTATTTGTCTGCTTCATGATTGGCTTATTTCACTTAGCAAAAGCCCCCAAATTATTCTGTGTTGTAGTATATGTCAGAATTTCCTTCTTTTTTCATTGTTAACGAGTACTCATGCATGTGTATATATTGTCCCTATCCTTTCGTCTATCATGGATGCTTGGATTCTGAGCACCTATCTTATTTTCGTATTTGACTGGGATCTCTTAGATACCAACTATTGATTGGTGCTTGCTTGTTTTCACTAAATATTAGTGATTTTGAGCATTTTATATGGGTTTGGGCCATTTGTATATCTTCATTGACAAATGTTTATTGAAGTTCTTTTCCTATTTTCGAGTTGGGCTGTTTCTTTTTAGTTGAGTTTTAAAAACTCTGTATATCTTAGATATAAATCCCTTCCCAGATATATAATTGACAAATATTTTCTTCCATTTTATAGGTTGCCTTTTTACATTAATATTGGCATTTAACCAACAAATGTAAATTTTTTTCACAAATTTCATCTTGTCAATTTTTTCTTTTGTCATCTGTGCTCTTAGTGCCATATCCAAGAGATCAATGCTGAATATAGTGGCATGAAGCTTTTGTCTTATGTTTGTATGTGTTATATACTTTACATTTAAGTCTTTGCTGCACTGTGAGTTCACTTTTATACTTGGTGTTAGGTAAATGTCCACCTTCCTTCTTTTACATGTGGACATAAAGTGTTCCCAGAATCATTTGTTGAGAAAACCATGCTTTCCCCATTGAATAGTCTCGGTACCCTATTAAAATTCATTAGCTCATATATCTGATTATTTTTTCCTAGCCTCTTTGTTTTAGTACATTGCTTTGCCTGTCTTGTCTTTATGCTAATACCACACTGTATGGATTATTGTAGCTTTGTAGTAACTGGTGGAATTAGGAACTGGGAGTTCTCCAGCTTTGTTCTCCCTTTTCAAAGTTGTTTTGGCTTTTCAGGGTCTCTTAAGATTCCATGTGACTTTTAGTAGTTTTTTTTTTATATTTCTGCAAAAATGTCATTGGAATCTTGATTAGGATTTCACTGAAACTGTAGATAACTTTCCACAGAGCTGACATCATAACCACTTATTCATCTGGTTGAAATGACATTTGCCCAGGCAATGATCGGAATAGCCAGTATGAAAACAAATGCGCTGCCTGAGTGACGCTTGGGGTAAACTGTGAAGTAGTTAATAGTAAGTCTTCTCATACATGAACATGAGCTGTATTTCCATTTGTTTATGTCTTAAATTTCTTTCATGAATATTTTGTAGTTTTCATTGCACATACCTTTGACGTCCTTGGTGAAATTAATTTCTAAATGTTTTATTTATTCTGATGTGATCACAAATGGAATTGTTTTTGCAATTTCCTTTTCAGATTGATTGGAAATATGACTGGTTTTTATGTGTTGATTTTATATCCAGATACTTTGTGCAATTTATTTATTCTAACAGTTTTGTGGAATCTTTAAGATTTTCTACATATAAAATCATATCATCTGCAAAAAAATTCTACTTTTCAAACAGAATGCCTTTTTTCTTTCTTGTCTAATTGCTCCAGTTAGAAGTTCCAGTAATATGTTAAATAGAAGTGGCAAAAATGGATGTCTGTTAGGTTAATGGTGATGTCAGTAAAGAACTCAGCCAGCCTGAATTTGGGGGTTCTATGTGGGATCTCCTAGAGTAACTCCAAAGGAGAGTCCAAGTCCATTTTTTGTTAGCTGGGCCTTTTATGGATCGGGAGGGGGTGGGTGGGACAGGCTTAGGTAGGTGTTATGGTCAGGGTTTTGGCAAGTGAATACATTAAATACATGACATATAATTTATAGGGTTATTTTATGATAATTACCAAAAATGTCAAATGCAAAGGAGTACAAGAGATTAACTGGACACTAAAGGCCCGAAGAAACCAGCAGAGAACCTGGATCCCAGCAATGTCCCACACAAGTCCAGCTAAAGGCTTAGTGTCCAAGGCAATGTCCTCCATGAGTCCAGCCAGTGGCCTAGAGCCCATGTCAATGTCCCATCCTTGTACATGTTGAGGATCTGCACCCGGAAAACCCAAAGGGCAGTGGTGGAAGCCAGAAAACCTACGCTGGTGAGATAAAGGATTTGTGCCACCAAGCTGAGGGATCCAGGAAATGATGTTCATGGTGAAGATCAGTACTCCCCTGACAAAAACAGCAGCCATTCCCAGCAACTGCAATAGGGAGGCCCTGAACTCTTCTGAGGAGAACAGCCTGCTTTGCATCAGAAAAACTATCTGTAGCAAGCTTCTCCTAGAAAATCAATAGGCCCCATCTTCCCCTCCACTTATTATGGTGATTGGCAACAATCCTCAGGTGGGTCTTCCACACCTAAACTACACTGATTCAGTTCAGCTGGGCATTACAAGTTGACCAGTTAGTCAACCCACCATATGGGGTGACATGAAGTGGGGGAGTGAGATTGGGGGAGCCAGAATGGCTGACTCTGTGTCTATAGAAACAGGTGGGCATTGTGACCTAGCAGAGCAGGCATTGCTCCCTGGCTTTGGGCGGGAGTGAGACAGGGGTTGGGGCAGAGGGGCTGCAGGACATAGGAACAGGCGGTGACTGTTTTCAGAGTTCAAGAACTCAGGGGACTGGGTGGTGGGCAGAAAAGGGGGCAGACCTATCAAGGACCTTGTGTTGTTCCTAATTTTAGGCAGAAAGTTTTCTATTATGGTTTAGATTCTTTTATGATTTAGATCTAAAATTTTCCCCCAAGTCTCATGTGTTTGGAAGGTGATTATCTCATGGGGGTGCTATATGCCTCAGTGGATTAATCCATTGATGAGCTGAAGATGAATGTGCTATTAGGAGGTGGGGCCTGGTTGGAGGTGGGTCACTGGGAGGATGACCTGGAAGGGTGTACAGTATTCTTGGCCCTGACTCCTCCCTTCTCTATCTGCTTCCTGTTATGGGTTGGGCAGCTTTCTTCCACCCAGGCCCTTCCATCATGCCATCTCTGGCTTGGAGTCTGTCAACCATGGACTGAGCACACTGGAAATGGTGAGGCAAACCTCTCCTCCTCAAAGTTGTCCTAGTGACTGGAAAGTAACTAATAAATATACTTTCGGTTTTTCAACATTGAGTGTGAAGTTTGCCATGAGTTTTTCATCTACAGCTCTTATTATTTTAAAATAATTTCCTTATATTCCTAGTTTGTTGAGTGTTTTTTTTAAAATCATGAATGGACACTAAATTTTTTTAAAAAATTTAAATTTATTTTGCAGTGCTGGAGATCAAACCCAGAGTCTCATGCATTCTAGGCATGTGCTCTACCACTGGACTACACACAGGCCCAGTTGTTGAATTTTGTCAAATGCTTCTTCTGCATCAATTGAGATGATTGTATGGGTTTTCCACCTTGATTCTGATGTGGTGTGTTAACTAATTGATTTTTGCATGTCAAATCATCCTTCTCACTTGGTTATGGTGCATACTCCTTTTAATACGTTCTGAAATTCACTTTGCTAGTATTTTTTGAGGATTTATGCATTGATTCATAAAGGATGTAGGTGTGTAGCTTTCTTTTATTTATAATTGGCTTTGGCTTTGGCAGCAGGTAATGATGATCTCATAGGAAGTGGTCTTTCCTCTTTGATTTTTTGGAAATGTTTGAGAAGATATGATATTACTTCCTTAAATGTATGTTTGTATTTATTTATGATACCATCAAGTGCAAGGCTTTTCTTTGTGGGGAATTTTGGTTACTGATTCAATCTCCTTACTACTTATAGATCTATTCAGATTTTATATTTCTTTGTGATTTAGTTTTGGTAAGTTTTGTGTTTTAGAAATTTGTTCATTTCATCTGGATTATCTGATCTGCTAGTGTGCAATTGTTCATAGTACATTCTTATAATGTTTTTCTAATAGTTTTGGGTTTTGAGAATTTGCATTGCGCTACATCCCCAGCCCTTTATTTTTTTTAAATTTTGAAATAGGGTAATGCTATGTCACTAAATTGTCCATGCTGAGCTTAAAGCTGCCTTAGCCCTCCTAGAGTGCTGGAGTTATAAGCATATGCCACTTCACCCAGCTCTTTTATTCCATGTAATCAGTAGTAATATACCCATTTACTTTTATGATTTTTAGTAATTTCAGTCTTCTCTTTCCCCCTTAGTCCATCTGCCTAAGGGTTTGTCAGTTTTGGTGACCTTTTTTAAAAAAGAAAACTTTTGTTTTCAATATTTATCTACTCATTTTATTTGTCTCTTCTCTGACCTTCGTGTGCTTCCTTCTCTTAACTTTGGATTTGGTTTAATGAAGCACCATAACTATATTATTTAAGCAATTGATAATTGTTTAATTTACCACTTTAAAAAATAATTTACCACTTTAGAAAATTCGAGGGAATTATTTGTTAAATGGCTTCATTCATTCATTCATTCATTCATTGTGGTGCCAGCGATTGAACCCAGGGCCTTCACACTGATCTATATCCCCAGCTCTTTTTTATTTTTTTAGTTTGAGACAGGGCCTTGCAAAGTCCCTAAATTCATCAGGATGGGCTCAAACTCACTATCCTTTTTCCTCAGCCTCCTAAAGTGCTGCGTTTACAGGCACATATCACCACACCTGACTTTTGAACTGACTTTAGTAAAATTTATTTTGGACTAAGATTTGATTTACAGAAAAGTCGCAAAGTTGGGACAGAGAGTTCCATTATACTCCCACCCAGTTTCTGGGGGATGATGACTTGGATAGTCCTGGTCTTAGGAAAAGTTCTCAGAAAAGTTCAAAATGCTGTCACACAGTTTATTGTCTTTGCTTTTCTTCTTCAGATTAGCCGAAGCTCCTGCTCTGGCTCCAGATGCTTACTGTCAGGTCTCAGGGGAATAACAAGGGCTGCTAAATATCTTTCATGGTGCTTCTTTGGAAAAGCTATATTTAAAACATTACCAGATCATGTTGGTGACCACAATTAAAGATGAATTTCTCGGAGTCAGGCACCTACTGTTGGGCCATGAGTCCTCCCCAAAGATGAGCTTCTTAAACTCACTCACAGAACTGCTAAGATTGAACTATTTTGAGTTAGATGTGGATTCCAAGTGTAGGGATCCCCAAATTCTTGGAGAGAACAACTAGGCAATGCTGTATTTAATAATATACACTGTTTAATGTTCACAGGATAGCAAGTACAGTTAATCCTCCTTGTCTATAGGTTCCTCATCCCAGGGTCCTGCATCTATGGGCCAACCTACTGCAGATGGCAAATATTTGAAGAAACATGTGCTGAATCTTTCTCTTGAATAATACAGTGCATCAATGATCTATATAGCATTTCTATTGTATTAGGTATTATAAATAATCCAGAGATGATTTAATGCATGTGGGAGGCTATGTGTATATTACAGGCAAATACTACTCCATTTTGCATAAGGGCCTTGAGTGCCCACAGATTTTGGTATCCATAGGAGGTCCTGGAAATGATCTCCCATGGATACTAAGGGAAGACTGTAGCTAAGAGTGCTACCCCAAAGCCACATTTTTCAGTTTACAATCCCAGTTCTGTCATATGCTAACCATGGGATATAGGGAAAAGGATATAACATCCCTGCTAACATGGCTTAGTTACCTCGTCTTTCATATGAGCTCATCGTAGTCTCTATTTCAAAGGTTGTTGTTAAAATTAAATGAATGAATATGTGTATTTGAAACAGTGCTTGGATCAGTAAATTTTAGATATTGTTAATGTAGCTATTATTATTTCAGTCATCTAGGATGTGAGAGAATGGAATAAATGAACCATTAGAAATACTGAGTGTTATTGATAAATTTATTACTTGTGCTTGATTTGAACAGAAACTCAGCCACCTGTGACGAATTTGAGTGTCTCAGTTGCAAATCTCTGCACGGTGATATGGACATGGAATCCTCCTGAGGGAGCCAGCCCAAATTGTAGCCTAAGGTATTTTAGTCATTTTGATGACCAGCAGGAGAAGGTAAGTTTTCAGGGACATATTGTATTGACGGGGTAAAGTGGTCAGTATGAATTAGAGCCAGAAATAAGCCGAGTTCTAATCATGCTTCAGAGTGGGGATTTTATTTTGAGTTGTGTTCAGATTTCAGTTGGGAAACAGCTTGTAGAAACAGCTATTGACAACACTGATCATTTAAAAATATTTGCCAATTATTTGATGATTAAATGTAATTGAGATTGCTCTGATAGGAAATGCTACATATCTTTAGCTATTAGGCACTCAATAAATAATTAATTTTGTTGTTTTTAAACTGTCTTCCTATATTCTTTCCTGTATCTTTATCTTGTATCTCTAGAACTTCCAATTTTATAGGGAATTTCCACATTTACCACGTTTCTCATCACATATATAGATAGTTCAGCAAGAACTGTGTGGTCTGAAAGTAAATGGCTGTATGGAAAATGAAATAAGAAGTTGGTTGCAGGTGGGTTTGAGTAGGTTTCCTGATGCCTGAGGAAAAATGAGATAAACTTTAAACCTTTCCAAACAGATGAGTCAACTGATTTAAGTAAATTTTTGTTAACAAGATTGGATAATTTGAGGTTGTTCATAATAATTTATTCAACCTTCTTATATATTTTTACCTCATTTCAGTGTATGAGTGTGGGGGATGTGATGGAGGCGTGTTTGGGGTCGAATCTGTTCAGGATTTTGAGGAGGCAGGTGAGGAGTTGTTATTGATGACAGTAGTTTGGATCAGTGAATTGTGAAATCACTTTCAAGTAGCGTACGTGGCAGAAAAAGTTAGGAGAACTAGGTTACACTTGGTACACTGTTCTTATTTGGTTCAGTGGCTGGAGTAAGTGATGTAGCTTCTCTGAGCCCTGGTGTCCTCATGTGTAAAATGTGGGCCCCCTCACCTCCCTGGCTTGCTGGCATAGAAAATAATGTATGTGAAAGTTTAGTCCTGAGGATGGAACAGGATCTTCCTTTGGAGGGAAATTTGCTGATCTGCTTTCCTCTCCCCTTTCCTGCTGCGGTGTTAGTTATGGTTTAGCTGTTAATTAATAAAGAAGTAAAGAAGTAAAGTATTTGCATTTTAAAGGAGGTCTTCTGGTAGGCTAGAAGCTTATGATACTCTGTCAGTTACTCTCAATTGACCCTGCACGTACTATTGGCTTCTTTTTGTAGTATTGGCTTCCTTTTGTTCCTAAGGAAGGACCTGAGTCATTTGAAGTCTTAACTGCCAATTTTTGGAAGTTCAGCCTTGAGAAATTTGTGAAAAATCTTGGGTCTTTGGTTGTAAACTCCATAGTCACTTAAGTATCGGGCAAGTCACTTGACCTCTCTGAGTCTCCATTTCCTCATTTTGAAACTGAGGGGAGGCAGTGGGTAACAGTAGTGCTACATAGAGATGGTATGTGCACTAACAGAGAAGAGGCTTCTAACATAAGTTATTATTAGGTTGAAACACGTGAGATTGGCACTGTTTTAGGACAGAATGCCTGAATGTTGTCAGCTGGTTGCTGTCAAGTTGTGATAAATGCACATTATTTCTTTCAATCCTGTCTGGACCTTTTTAAATTTAACAGAGTAAAAATGAGCGGCAAGAGTCATTTTCTTCTCTTTCTGTCCTTTGGATACAGCATAGCCAGAATTTGGAGTATATATACCCCTGAAACATATTGAAGCAGTGGTTATACACTTTAGGAAGCTTATGCAAGTAGGACAGGGTCTCAATGAGTTGCTGGGTTGCGCATGCTGGACTTGCACTTTTGATCCTCTTGCCTCAGCTTCTCAGAGTCTGGGTTCGTAGGCAATGGGCCACCATGCTTGGCTGCAGATGATTTTTTAAAAAGAAAGTATTGCTGTCAATGGCTGCCCTCTACCACTGTTTTGTCAGTGTCTATTACTTCCCCGGTTTGCAAGTAGAATCTGGCATCAGCTTTTAGCTATCTTTCATCACCAAGAGATAGGCATGTCCCATTGGGTAAATTAATAAAAAATTCCTTCAGTCCAGGCATCCAGACAGGCAGAAGCTGAAGCTTCCAAGAAAGGAATACTGGAGTTGAGAAAAAGTACCAGCCAAGTGAACATTGGTCCTGGGCAAGGGGATGTAAGTTCAGGACTGTGTCCTTGGTTTTCAGTAAAATTTCAAAGAAGGCCAGATTCCCTGAGGGGTGGAGCACAGGGTCATACATCTGCTATCAGTGGAATGATTCACCAAAGCTGAGAGTCATGTGGGAGCCATCATATACATCTCATCAAGATCTGCTGGCAGGAGTTTAGTTCCTTGTCTGATAAGAGAAAGGTATGCTTGACTTGGTGATCATTGATAATCAGAGTTCCTACTCTATTGGTACCAATTCAATATTATTTACTTAGAATTTTGAAAGATATCTTGAAGTATTATTTTAAAAATCTTTCCTCCTAGTATTTGTTTCTTTTCTAAGTTATTTTTCATTTACCTAAAACATAAAATTCAGATTTAAGTTCTAAAGTGATTTTTAATTTAAAACTTCCATTTTAATAATTGTGTAATAAAATTCCTCAGTTTTATAACTGGAACAATATCTAATAAAATAAAAACACAGACTTTTTTCCATGATGATATTTACAGGGTTGTTGGTTCTCTCTCTCCACCCCCCCACTTCCTCCTCTCTCCTCCTCTCCCTCTCTTTGTTTACTGGGTATTAAACCTAGGAGCTTTACACTGAGATACATCCCCAGCCTTTTTATTTTTTATTTTGAGACAGGTCTGGCTAAGTCACTAAGTTACCCTGTCTGAGCCTCTGAGTGCTGGGGTTACTGACTCGTTTTTGGTGTTTCAAAAAAATAAAAAACTTTGTGTGTGTGTGTGTGTGTGTGTGTGTGTGTGTGTGCATGCGCATGTGCGTACGTACATGCGCATGTATGTATGTAGCTGGCAGTGGAACCCAAGGCCTTACACATGCTAGGCATGCAGTCTACCACTGAGCTATACCCCCAGTCCTAATTTATGATGTTTGATCATACATTTCTCACTGATGTCCTCAAAGGAAAAATGCAGCTTCCAGATGAGAATTATGAAAGGTTCTTCAGTCACTGTGGCTCATTCAAATATATGCATGACTCATATTTAGTAAAATTTTCATTTGAAGTCTTCCTGCCACCATGACCAGTACCCCAGGGATGTTTTGTAGCTTCACAGGTTTAGAAACCTTATTTCTTCAGCATATATTCATCGCTCAGGGGCCAATTCCTTCCTTCGCTGTGAAAACTAAAAGGGTGAAACACTCTAGAAGACTGTGATCAACAAAATTGGTTTGTTCCATCCCAGTAAGCAGAGCCTATATGGGAAGCCAAATAATAAGTAGATTTCTTGGCGAAGAATCAGGAATTTGTTGTGAAAATGTACTTGGCTAAGAATAGCTACAGGCCCCACTGAGGGTAATTGTAGTTGTGCTGGGTACTCAGAGTCCATTTGGTTAAGTCACCCTCTCTTTTTCTCAGCCAGGGTTTTGCTTGAAGTTATTTATTTCTAGGCTGAGCCAAACCACCTTTTCATAGTAATGTCACAACTAGGTTTAAGAACTGCTTTATCTCTATAAAATGATTTTCATGTCTTTGCTATGGTTTATTTGGTGTCCATTTGTCAGCTACTTCTCACATTGTGTCATAGATTCAGAGCTTCTCACCGTTGCCCTCATGCTCAGCTGACAGCAGGCATGTGAAGTTATCACAGTAGCTGTTAGGGGTGTAGTAGAGTTAACCGTGTCCACTTTTTCCCTTCACGGCCATGAGCACATTATAAAAAGAAGTAGAATCTGAAACTTGAGCCAGAAACTCTTGCAAAACAGGAAGCACTCTTCTTGGAGCTCTGTTTAAAAGCAGCCCCATTCTTAATTATTCCATCTCTGTCACCATCGGAAATGTTGGTTTCCTAGATCATTTTAATCTGTTATTCTAAATCATAATAACTGGATTTGTGGTTTATTTCTGTATGATGTGTATAAGTTGGTTGTTTCACAAAACTTTTCAGAGTAAGATGATAGGTTTAGTGTACATAGCAGCCTTTGAAATGTATATGCAGGTATGAGAGTCAAAATGGCCAAATGGTACAGAAAAGTGAAATGAAAAGTCTCTCTTTGACCTTCAGTTCCTAGAGGTAACCATAGTTACTACATTCTTAAAGCACTCCTTTTTTATCTTGATCTTGATGGCATATTGTATCTGTTGGGAATTCTATTTTGTTAACCATGTTGTATTTCCTTTAAAGTTACTTTTAGATGTTTGATATGTTTATAGGTAAACTTCATAAATACTTATACATTCAAAATGTGATCAGTTATCTTTTATGTACACTAAAGTTTCTCAGTGATGACACTACTGACATTTCTGAGTTATGACAACTAAGAATGTTTCCAAACATTACCAGTTGTCCTTGAGGATAGCAGCAGAGCAAACTCTGCCCTGATCTATACCATTTGAGTCCTCGCCTTTTTTACCCATTTATGCATGCTAATATTTTACTTAAATGTGCTTTTCTGTGTTTGCTACAGTAATGCCTTTTAAAATTTTCCAACCTCAGAAAATTGCTCCAGAAACTCATCGTTCAAAGGAAGTCCCCCTAAATGAAAAGATTTGTCTGCAAGTGGGATCCCAATGTAGCATGAATGAAAGTGAGAAGCGTAGCATTTTGCTGGAAAAGTGTATCTCACCTCTAGAAGGTAACAAACGAAAGCACTGTCTTGGTATTCATAGAATAAATCAAGGTGCTCTGTGTTCATTGTTTATAAATTCATTCAAATGGCAAAGTTGCTGTGCACTAGGGTCTGGCCGCATGATGCTAAATCTGGGTATGCCTCTGTCTTCAAGGAGCTCACAGACAACACAAGTAACAATGCCTAGTAGATAACAGTGCTTTATGACTCAAAAATGAATACACTTACATATACACATTCCCCCAAATTGTGCCTTACACGCTTATCTTGTGGAACAAATCGTGATCCATTCATAAAGAAGAAGGGAGCTGAATGACTTGCTCTAGGTTTTCAGATTCCAGGTCCAGTACTTATATGAAAACCAAAATGCTGTGTCATTTGTGATATATGGAAATTAATTAATTTGGGATACAGGACATATTTAGGAAAAGATATTAAAAAGAAAAGAAAAACCATGCTAGCCTGAGTCAATATATGTGAGGTACTTAAATGCTGTGCACATGTCATCTATTAATACATATTTGTCCCTTGGTTGAGCAGGCCATCTCACACCTCCAAACCTTAGCACTATGAGCTCCACCTGTTTTGCACTGATCAAAAACATACAGAGTATTATTTATAAAATGATAAAATTTAGGACTTGTAGGAGGCTGGGACCATAGTTTAAACAACTTACTGTATTCTCATTTCAAAACAGTTATATTATGACATAAAATTGTTGAGGATGGTAACCTTTCAAGGATTGTGAGGGATTAAAGTTTATATTTTAAACAGAGGCATTTAAATGAGAGTCATGATTCCTTAACAGAAACAGGATATAGAGATTTCAGATCAGAAAGAGTTTAGGGCTCCTAAAAATCACAACACAAAATAAGCATGTATTACAGATTGAGTTATTCTTACCTTTCCCCAGAATTGCTTCAGAAGGTATGCTGTTTACTTTTTTGGACAGTACTGATCAAAAGACATGAAGGTATATTGTACCTCCATAAAATTTTTCTAAATATGAGAGTTAGAGCTGGGAGTGTAGCTAAGTGTTTGAGCGTATGCTTAGCATGTAGTAGGCCCTGGGTTCTACCCCAGCACCAAAATAAATAAAACAGAGGAATGGTTTGTATTTCTACTTTTATTTAGGAATTCTGCAATCTTTGCCTGATTGAAATATTATAACCTCTCTGCAGTTAGAGGTATGAGAGTTAGGATCCATCAGAGATGTTTTCCTTGAATCAGGAAATGAGGGAGAAGTTTGTAAACAAATTAGATTTGGGGTTTTGCCATCTGGGTGACTTCTGTGTAAAATGGGGTGAGATCAGAGATTAGTTCTGGGGGAAAGCAGTCTGGAACACCCTCCCACCCCCCATGCCACAGAATCATAGGCAAGTTTGCATAACAATTCAAGAAGGGCCCTAAACTCTTGCCTGGATATTTTAGGTGATCCAGAGTCTGCTGTGACTGAGCTTCAGTGTATCTGGCACAACCTGAGATTCATGAACTGTTCTTGGCTCCCTGGAAAGAATTCAAGTCCTGACACTAACTATACTCTTTACTACTGGTAAGTATGTATGTATAATAGAATTACTAGAATGGAATTATTTTGGGAGCCTTTGGATGCAACTGAGTTTAAAGAAGTACAGCTTATTCTCTTCCATAAAGGCAAGACGGTGAGCAGCTTGCTTCAGTGGAAAATGTGTCTGTGTTGAGTGTCTGCCTAAAATATTCTTCCTATTTTCAACTATAGAGCCACAAAATATTGTTCCAAAAAATGTATAAGGACATTCCATGCACTTCTCACCTAATTTCTCTCAGTGGTAATACCTTGTGTAGCTAGTTACAGACTGTAATTATGCTATTGCACTATAGAACACTGGACCTGAACCCCACCCTCTCTCCCCGTGCTTTGGTGTACATTATCCACTCTCTCACTGTGCCCTCTCGCCTCACAAATGGAGATACTGAGTCAGTGTGAAAGCAGCCTGGAGAAGGGGAGACCTAGCCTCAGTAATCTGCCCTTCACATGACCTTGTCTCTGCAAAATTGTTTGCTAAAACAACTCTGAGAGAATGGAGCATGGAAGGCTGTGTCCAGGACTTCTGAGACTACAGGACAAACATGACCTTTCATCTTGGAGTGTTGAGCTGGGTGTGGCTAAGCACTTGCCTAGCATTTGTGAGTCCCTAGGTTTTAGCTCCAGCACTGCCAAAAGAAGGAAAAATGACCCTGGAGTGTCCATTTTCCCCAATGACGTGATCAAAAATAATTGTGGTATATTAGAGCACTCATGGCTTTACCATTGAATATAATGCAAAACCCCACATTTCATTTAAATTATATTTATTTTTAACATAAATTATATTTATTTTATATAGATTATTCATATTTAAGGGGTATCATGCAATATTTCAATACCTGTATAAAATTATAATGTTAAAATAATGTTTAAATCAAGTTAATCATGTCTGTCTCCTCAAACCACATGAAATTTTGAATGAAAGCCTCTGATGTGGTCTGAGAGTTAGCATTCCCTCTCTACCTTGGTGGAAGGGTTTTGCTGGAAAAATCAAGAAGCAGACAGCACTGAGGTTGTGTGGTTCTTTCTGGAGGTTTGTTTTTCCCTCTTGATTAAATAATTCTCATTTGAGGTTTTAGAGTTTCACTTGGCAACTTTTGGTACCTATCATTTCTTGTTTTCTCAAAATCCTTCCTGGATCCCTAGTGGCTTTAGGATAAAGTTAAAAAAAATTCAACAAGACAGAAAAATCCCTTCATGACTTGGCTCCTGAAAGCCTCTCCAGTCTTGGTCTTATCTCCCTTCTTCCACTCCTACCCCTCTGAACTTTCAGTTTCTCAAAGTGACTCTTCAAATACTCAGGCAGAAGAGTGTGATCTGATCAGGGCACACTATTCCTCAGAGGAGTAGGGACATTGTCTCTAGCATAGAGCATCCTCTGGTAGCCCATGCCTTGCACTTTCCCCTAAAGCCTCTTATTTGTCCTCAGCTTAGCTCAGACACCATTTCCCCATCAGGAAGCCTTCCTCTACCTCTCAAGTCTAGATACATGCCCTTTCATCATGTCCCATGACACTTTGCACTTTTGCGTGTCAGTGCTCAGCACATTGTATTGTCATTTCCTGTTTACTCAGTAGTAGCCTGCCCTAGGCTGCAATGTTCTTTGAGAGAATGAGCTGGGCCTTGTTTCCCCTGGTGCCTGACATATGCTAGGTTTTCCATAAATCACTTCTGAATGTTTGTTAAGATACAAAGCTGGTGGACATTCAGATTTGGGCTGAGAACTTAGAAAGTACAAGCAACTCAGGAGCAGTATAGTTCAGGAATCAAGAGAGAACATGACTGAATAGAACTGGCTCCCGGAAGACTTCCCAGAGAAGAAGCCACAGAAAGAAGTAAGCCTTAGAATGAGTAGTCTGGCTTTGTTGGTGCTGCAGTAAAGTCTTAAGAAATTGTTATTGCAAGATTTTCAGTTGTTTTAGGAGCTGGTAGAGTCCCTATGGTTATTATTCTATTAGCCCTAGATAGGGTCATTATGGGTAAAACCACGAGGAGAAGCTTTAAAGAACCCATGTCTACATAAAGGGAAGGAAGAGAAGGAAAGAAACCTTAAAATAAATCTCATCACATGGCAGTCCATGCAGGAGAGTAACCTAACTATTATATCAGGGCTACAACGGTGGTACATGGTGGCCTATCCCTTGAGATTCTAAGACAAAAATGAGAAAATGTCTAGGGACACACTGGCACAAACCAAATCCCAGCACAAATCGCACAATATCTCCTTGGGATGAATGAATTATAAAAAAAGTGGACTGACCAATTTGAAGGAGAATTATTTTTCCCGTGTGTTGAAGTGTTTCTCTTCCTTTGGGCTGAAGTAGGCATTTGTAAAAGCCAATAGAGATGGTTCTCTGGCTGGCTTTTAGCTCTCAGTTAATCGTTGTTTTCAAGGTACAATCTGCAACAATTGGAGCTGGATCAGGAAGCAATCTGAAGAGAGTGGTGGTTCACTGGCACCCAAGGGGACAGGTATCAATGATCCTACTTCTTGCCATACACATTCTCAGTGCTTGTCACAAGCAGGAGCTCTTTCCATAATATGTACATGTGCTATTCAATACAGGAGCGGCTACCTATGTGCAGCTATTAACATTTTAACTTAAATTCATTAAAATTAAATTAAAGCTTTAGTTATTCAGTCTCTCTACCCCTTTTGCAGTGGCTCTTGAATTGGACAACACAGATAGGCAACATTTTCATAATCTCAGACAGCTCTATTGGACAAGGCTGGAATAGCCTATATCTTCTACCTTTACCACATCATACTGCTTGGGTTAAAATCCTGGCTCTCTTCCTTACTAGAAATATGATTAGGGGAGAGCGCCTTCTCTCTGATCTTCAGTTTCATAATCTATAGAATAGAGATAGTGATATTAGTGCCTACTTCTTAAAACTGTCATGAGGGCTGTTACTATATAGAAAGTGTTTGGAACCATAAATAACTGCTAGCAAGTATAGAGTAAGCACTCTGAACATGAGAGCTGTTTCTCTTGGTGTTTGTTATTAATACCCACTCTCTTGCAGATATCATCAGCATAGTGAGCCAACTTCTTTCCCACCTCATAGAAATGGCACCAAGCTCACACCTCCTCTCTTTTCTTGCTCCCCATAGATCCACCCTTTCTAGTGAACACCACAAAAGCAAGGCAGTGAGGACATGGTATTCATTAGCAGGCACCCATAATGCTTTAGGTGATGGTGTAAATCGTATCACACAAACTGCCAAAGGCCATTTTCACTAATCTCCAACTAGAAAATGTGGAATCATTTTTATAATTGAAACAAGTTCTTTGACATCCCCAAGTACAATGAGTTATGTCTGCAGGGACAGTCTGGCATTAAAAGGAGCCTGGCCATCCAGGACAATGCATGTTAGGGAGTTTCTTACCCCATTAATCATCTGCAGAGTTGGGAGAATAGTCTTAATTTGTCCATTTCCTATCTACAGTATGATTCTGCAGAAGATGTCAGTATATACATTTTAACAGGATCATCTGCTTTTCTTAGGTTATCATCTAATTTTTCACAAGGAATCCAAAAACATTGTCTATTGAAAACTGCTATTTTCCCCCTTATTACTATTTCTAAATAACAATAAAATTGTTTTTAAAATTTCACATGTGGCTCCATGAGTAAATGTAAGATACAGCGCAAAAATGAAAAAGAAGTCTAAAAGAATGCTCATTAGAAGAGCTTTTTCCATTATTAAAATAAACTAATTTATATGCAAATTTATTTGGTTATGAAGAAAAACGTCATTAGTTTCTTTAGTTTCTATTTCTGGCTATGGGTAGGAAATGTTCCAGAACCATATGACCCAAAAAACTACTCATGACAACAACTTAAGTTTTTAAAAACTGCTTTCTCATATAAACCAGAGACCTGTAACTAGGAGAAAAATTTTGTATTATCTCTTGAAGAACAAGAACATTTTCTCTCAAAGACTAGGACATTTTCTCTGGAAGGACAGGAACATTTTTATGCTGAAAAATTCCTTGTAAAGCCTTTGAAGGGGTAAATACATTAGATCTGAACTTTTTTTAAAAGTTTGCCTGTATATTTTGATTATTTTATTTATTTTTGTGTTACTGGAAATGGAACCCAGGACCTCAAACATGTTAGGCAAGCACTCTACCACTGAGCTGTATCCCCAGGTTTTAAACACCTGATTTTCCGCAGAATCCCCTGGGGGAAATTTCTGTTGGAATTCTGATTCCTAGGTCCAGGCAATCCCTTCAAAGTTGGCTTCTCTGGGAAAGAGCCTGAGGATTCAGCACTTTAAATTACTACAGATGATTTTGAAGTAGTAGGCCAAGGACTTGGGAATCTACTGTTGTTCATTTCTTAGAAATTGTCTTCCCTTTCTGCAGAACCTTTGCACAACTCCCATTGTGGCTGATGATGTAAAGCCTGGCTCTCTCTTCTGCTGGCCACTAAAAAAGGGAGTTCTAGTAGCCTAGACAAAAATGTATTTTGAGTACATTCTGTCTATTTGCACTGTGTAAGTGCTGAAAATCATTAGTGAAAGAAGACATTTAAAGCTAAATGATGGAGGAGAACACTTAGAAAGCCATTGAGTTCTGGACTGATATGACAGCAGTCAAAGGACATTAAAACTGAAGGTCAGAGAGGTCATCCTAGAGAAGGCATGAAGCCTGAAGCAATGAGATCATGAATCAGGGTGTGAGCAATGGGAATATCATAGCAAATGAGAATCCAAGAAACTCTGCAAACAAAACTTGGTGGTAGAGTATAGGGAATGGAGAAAAAAAAAGATTTAAAAAAATCTAAGGATCCTGGAAGAAATGAACTCTGAGTGATGGAAATGGGAAGGTTGGAAGAAAAGACAGTTTGGTGGGGACAAGGATGTATGGTATGTTTGGGGCACTGATTGTGAGGCAAAAGTAGATCACTAATATGGAACCATTAGAAATCTAGGACTAACACTGAGGTGAGAGATTCAGACCAGGAATCCCCAGAATAGAAATTACTGTATAGTGGAGGAGTAGGAATGATAAAACTGGGAGTGTGTGGATGGGAAGAGGGAAGAAGGCAGGAACAAGCCAAGAAAACACAGGCAGAGAGACCATAAGGAAATCATGAATTCAGTAGATCTGCACAAAACTTCTCATCTTGACTTAGTACACTTTCCTCATGTTTCTTTCTATAAGAGGAAGATCAGGACTCTTATAGTTTTTACAGTTATTGACAATACTGATAGCCATCACCAAAGAGCAGCTTTTTTTCCTAGACAATGAAGTAAGCCATATTTTAAGATATGGATTTTTATTTCACTTAGGAGTATATCCTCAATATGTACCCATTTTCCTATGAATGAACCTAATTTCTCATTCTTTATGGCTGAGTAATATTCCATTTTATAGAAAAACCACATCTTTATCCAGTTTCCAACTGATGGGCAAATGGGCTGTTTCCAAGTTTTAGCTATTACGAACTGTGCCACTATAAACATAGGTACACATACATCTCTGTGATATGATTATTTTAATTTTTTTGGAAAGATACCCAGCATAAGTCACACATATGTAAATACCGAATAGTTTCTCTGGTATGAATAAACTATAATAGTACATAAGATCCTAATGATATAATGGACAATATGAAATAGGAAGAAAGGGTCTAAAGGTGTAGGGGAAGTGGGAAGGGTAGGGGAAAGTTAATAAGGGAAAAGAAAATATAAGAAAATGAAAAAATGGAAATGAAGTGTTTGTAAAGGGGAGGGGAGGAGGGGGTGAAAGGAGGGCAGGGACAAGGGGAAAAAATGAGAACCAAGACCTGTCATATAAAGGTACAAGATCCCAATGATGAATGTAACTGTACTGTTACATACCTAAAATGTACCAATAAACTCAAAAAGAAAAAAAAAGATAGGGATTTTTAAAAGCTGTCTTGCCTTATTGCAAATACTGTTTTCAATGAACATCGCATCATTAAAAAATTCTACTCTTGTCTCTTGAATACCTCATTCAAAATAATACAGAGGGTTGTCTCATTTTGTCTTGCAGGCACAGCAGCCTGGGAAAAATTCTTCAATGTGAAAACATCTATAAAGAAGGTCAACACATTGGTTGTTCCTTTGATCTGAGTAAAGTGAAGGATTCCAGTTTTGAACAATACAGTGTCCAAATAATGGTGAAGGATAATGCAGGAAAAATTAGGCCATCCTTCCATATAGTGCCTTTAAGATCCCGTGGTAAGTTTTAGAAATCCTCTGTAACAGTACAGGTAAAAGTGGCTTATGTCCTTTGAACAATAAATACAAATGATAAGAAAATGGTAATTTTGGTCTTCAGATTTTCCTAAAACAAGAGACTACATGTATGTAATCTTTCTTTTTTTTCATCTTTAATTGAGTTTATTGGTACATTTTAGGAATACAGTACAGTTACATTCATTATTGAGATCTTGTACCTCTCTTCAATAGATCCTTTTTAATGAAGCAAGATTAGAAACTCTGCCTTTTAAACCAGATGCTTTATCCTTGTACTTAGGAGCATGCTGAAACTTGAATCAATTAGTTGTAGAACCAATATCGGAATTCAGGCTGTCTGTAAGATCTCTTCTCCACTTATGGTACTTGAGAAAATGATGCTTATATGACCATATGGTTCCTGAATAATCTATCTGTTGGAAAAAGCTTAGAATGAAGGTGGTATAATCAGGGATATTAAAAAAATGCTTTGGATGCTAGGTGTTGATCCCATAGCTTCAAAAATGCTAAACGGGTTTTCTACCACTGAGCTGTACTTCCAATTCCATCTTCAAAATATTTGACATTCTTTATGGCCCAGGCAATGGTTGGTCAGAACAACCAGGATTGCCACATGTGGATGTATGAACTGAGTATTGGCCTATTAGAAAGAGGCCTCAACTTGAGCATAGAATATCTGGTTGAGGTCCTAGCTCCACTTTGGACAAGGCATATACACCCTTCTCGGGTGTTTCCTTGTCTGTGAAGTGGAGTATATAGTCCCCTTTGACTTCAAAATATTTTCATAAAGTCCAGATGACATAAGATATATAAAACTATTTTGTAAATCTCTAAAGAAAATACCAGCAGCATACTGGGTTATTTGTTGCACTGTCCTGAGAAGGAGATCAAATTCTGGCTTAGTGGTGTACAGATGATTTGTAGACAAAGAGCCATCCTTTGACCAAGGATCGCGAGTCTGTAAGCAGAACGTTGCCTACAACCTCTTCAGATAGTCATGGAAGTAAATTCTAACAGGAGACCAAAGGCAGCCTATGTTGTAGGCCAAGGGAGTAGGGTCCAGATAGTGTTTGCCAAGTAGGATATGATGGAGCAAAGCCTTCTCTATCCACCCCCTTCTTGGGCAGATTATTCTAGATGTACTTTTGAGGCTTATGTATTTTGATGCTCTCCTTCGTGGAATTAACGATGGCATGAAGGACAATTCTTCTCAGCCAGAAGATGACACCTACAAGTTGTTTTCTGTTAACTATCCATTATTTTCTGTTGCTTGGTCTTAAGTGTACCTGACTCCAACAAAGGTAGATTGACCTGGCCAATGCTTTTAAAGAATATTTTATTCTTAATTGTTGTTACAATGACATAATATTGAGTTTATCTTCGTAATCATGTTTAAGTGTAAAGTTCAAGAGTATGAAGCATATTTATATTGTTGGGCAACAGATATCTAGAACTTTTCATCCTGCCAGACTGGAACTCAATTAAACACAAATTCCCCTGTGCCCCAGCCCTTGGCTTTTTTTCTGTGAACTTGACTACTTTAGCTATGTCACCTGAATGGAGTTATATAGTATTTATCTTTTTGTAACTGGCTTGTTTCAATTAATGTAATGTTCTCAAGGTTCATCCATGTTGTAGCGTGTGATAGAGACTAGGCTAATGTTTTCATTGTGGTCTCTGGAATGAGTGAATGGCAGCTGGGGCAGCCCCTTGTACCTGGTGGTTTGCTGTTCATGAAATAGAGGCACATCTGGACCTAGGCACTTCTTTGCTTCATTCTTTATGTTACAGTTAGATGTCCTGATTATACCCTGGCCATTTTGTAACCAGATGAAGGTCAGAGTTCATGTTATCCTTAAATCCATTTTACTAGGCAGTTAAAAAAATTTTTTTTGAGACAATGTCTTGCCGTGTACTCTGGGCTGGCCTTGAACTTGCTTGAACAGGCTGACCTCAAACTTCTGAATGTTGAGGTGCGTACCACCATGTCTGGCTACTAGACAGTTTTAAAGAGGTTTCTTCCACTAATTATGGCTAATCAGAAATTCTAAAACCATATATTTCCTCATGTAAAGGCATTAAACATATCAACCCTGTTGTGATTTAATTTTGTGAACATTCATTATCCATTTTATATCATATAGTCAAATTTTGGAAGCTAAATTTGCTTTCTTCTATTTTTCAGTGAAACCTGATCCTCCACATATTAAAAATCTCTTATTCAGAGACGGTACCTTATATGTGCATTGGGAGAATCCACCAAATTTTGATAGCAGATGCTTATCTTATGAAGTAGAAGTCAATAAGAGCCAAACTGAGACACATGGTATTTTCTCTGTAAGTTTTTTAGATTATTATTTTCCCTTGGATATTTTACTTTCACTTGAATTTCTTAAATTGAAACCTGAATGAAATATAGCTCTTCATTTGTTACTAGATAATGATGATAAACAAACTTCTTGTCTGAATTGAGCAATGTGGAAAGTTTGAGGGTTTATGTTAGCATTAGGTGCAAGGTTCAAGTCATTTGTTAATTCATTTGTTCAATATAATTTTGTTCCTTTTTGAACCCAGGGCCTCACATCTACAACCATTTAGATTTTTTTTTGAGATAGAGTGTCACAAAGTTGCCCAAGCTAATGTCAAACTTGGCAATCCTCCTGCCTCAGCCTCCTGTGTAGCTGGAATTATAGGCATACATCACTATGCCTGGCTATAATACTCAGTAAACCAACTTTTTGGGACCATTTGAATGTATATATACATATGTATATATGTATATATATAAATTTTTTTCAGTGCTAGGGATTGAACCTAGGGGCTGGTGCATGTCAGGTAAACACTGTACCACTGAACTACCTCTACTCCTTGCTCAACAAATTTTTAAAATTAATTTTATTAGTACATTTAAGGTATACGATACAATGACATTCATCACTGGAAATTTGCACATTTACATAATCCATCTTGATTCCTACTTTTTGCCCATTCCCCTACCGTACGTTTTAACCTCTCTACCCCTCCCCATCTACAAAGACTTTGTTTCCATTTTTTCATTTTCTAATATTCCATTTCCTTCTTTCCTTTCCCCCACCCCTACCATTTCCCTTCCCCTTTGCCCCTTTTCTTCCTATTTTACATTATTATACCTTTTAGTCCTTATTTATACTCTCAGTTTCTCACACTACAGAAACTATTGGGTATTTACACACGTGTATCCTATTTATTTCACTTGAGTATCACCTCAATATGCATTCATTTAGCTACAAATGTGTCAAATTTCTCATTTTTAATGGCTGAGTAGTACTCATATATATCTATATCTATATGTGTATATGTATTTAAAAACCACATTTCTTTATCCAATCTCGATTAATGGGCAATTGGGCTGCTGTTACTCAGACAAAGATCTATCTATTATCTAGAATATATAAAGAACTTTAAAAAGTCAGACCTCCTAAATTTAAAGACCCAATCCAAGAATGGGCATCTGAAATGAACAGACATTTCTCAGGCAAAAAAGTAGAAATAGCGAATAAACTTATGAAAAAATGTTCAACATCACTGGTCATTCGAGAGATGCAAATGAAAATAATGCTGAGATTCCACCTCACCCCAGAAAGAATGCCTGCTAACATGAAATCAACCAATAACAATTGCTTAGCAAATTTTTACTAGGTGTTTTTTTCTTTATGAAGCTTACATATTAGAAAATAAATATGTTTAAATGAGCAAGATAATTTTATTGCATGAGTATTGTGAAGAAAATCAAATGGGGTTATGTAGTAGAGTGCAAGAGCATGTGAAAATCTGGAGTTAGAGAGGACAGCAACTACGATGACTGAGGTGAAAATGAGCTTGACATGAGTGGGAAAGAAAGCAAAACTTGTGCAACCAAAATATAGTAGAAAAAAGTGGCTAAGCAGAATGCAGAGATCCATCATCTAGATGCCTGCAGGTGTTATTAAAAACATTCCATTTTCTTGGAGTTTGCGTCAAAGAAAGTAGTCAGTTTTGAGTACAATAGTCAGTATTTGTTGAATTATGTGCACTTAAGCTGTTCAGAATCTAATACAAAACATTCTAATTAGCGGTCCCTGTGGGGAATAGAATGGAATGTGATGTAACCTCAGGGCACCAGTCCCATTGTTAGGTTTAGAGCAGGAGCACAAATTAAGCCCTTATTATGTTTTGTTTGTTTTTTATCACAAAATGAGGGGTCTGTTTCGCTCTTTGTTTATTGAATTTATTTTTTTGCTTTGGCAGCACATATACTAAAATTGAATTCAATTTTTTTTGCCCAGATTTGGAATCATGCTGCTCTGGGAGCTTATTTCCATAAGGTGGTGCCTCAAAACCTCAGGGACTGTACCACTCACTTTTTTTGCTACCTGCCTGTGCCTGGTGTTGACAGTTAAGAGGGGGAAGTAAGCCAGAACATCAACTGGTACCATCACAAGGGGATTGTGCTCAGTTAGCTGATGACAGGACCATGAGATGAGGAATGGCTTATTTTATTACCACTGTTTATCCTGAAAAACTATCTACTTGATGCTCCATTTCCTTGTTTTCCTCATCTCAGAAATATCTGAGTAGCTATTAAATTACGTGAGAGGATTTACATTTGAGCAAGAGCTTAGAGACTTAAATCTACATAATGATTTGCTAACTTTGAAATTTATGTATTTGGCAGATGGGAAGGAGGGACATCAGTCTGCAACTTGATCCCTCAAGTGGTAGATGAAACTGGAGATTCCCCAATAGGTCTATAATCCCAGATAGCCAGCAGTGGGACACAGTAGCTGTGAGTGGTTCTTCCTCTGCCCTTGTATGACATATTGAGAACAGTCCTTTGTTATTCCATTGGCCTTCCAGCTCTTCACATATACCAGTAGGAGCCATGTAGTGAGTGACATTAAATGTCAAAATTAGTGGCTATGTGTTCTAGTCTCTGTTCCGTGTTTAAATGTCTTTAGTAGGAGTTGACTAGGCAACAGATTTTCATTCCATTCTTTAAAAACTCACATTTAGTATTTTTTTTTCTACTGGGGATTGAACTCAGGACCTTGTGCTTGTGTGGTAAGTGGTGGAATGACTGAGCTAAATCCCTGGCTAAAAACTCACATTTAAAGAGCTGACTGTTGGCTGGGGATTTGGCTCAGTGGTTCCACTGCCTGCCTTGGCAAGGCAGGGCCAGAGTTCTATCCCTGGTACCAAAACAAACAAAAAACCCAAAAAAGCAAAAAACTGATTATTCTTTTTAAATCAGATAGCAAGTGATTTACATTGTGTGGAGGAGAATTCTACATTATTTTTCTTTTCTCCATTCTAGTCATTTTTATATCTTATACTCTCAGTGAGGGAGACTAGTGTCTGTCTTTGTCTCTCTCATTCTTTCCCTCCAAACTTTTTATTGATGTAAAATACACAATATAAAAATTACACAAGTCATAAATCAGTGGTACCTCGGTTCACAAACACTTTGGTTTGTAAAACAGAGTGTTTGGCAAAATGTGGATTTTTGTTTGCTAACTGCATGACATGACAAACAGGACAAACACAACAAACACATCTTTCCCACACAAACACGAACTTGGCCTTCTTTTCCAAAATTGTAGAAAAAATTAAATTTGTGAACGAAGGAACCGCTGTATATAGTTCAATGATTGCTTTTCATAAAGAGTTTTCACAAATGACTTTTTGCCTACATTACCAGCACCCCAGAATCACCCTCAGGACCTCTTTAAGGTGCTGTTCTCCCAGAGAGCAACTACATCTTGACATCTAAGTCCATAGATTTGTTTTATCACTGCTTTTAAAACTTTCTATAGTGCTGGGGATTTAGCTCAGTGGTTCTGCTAACTGCCAAGGCGCAAGGTCCAGAGTTCGATCCCTGGTACCAAAAATAAATAAACAAATAAACAACAGCAACAGCAAAATTCCTATAAATGTAATTATGCAGAATATATTTTTGTGTGTCTTCCCTTTTTCATTAAAAATTCTAAGATTCTCCACTAATGTTTCATGTAGTGTAGATGGTTCATTCTCATTATATATATTCCATTATGTGAATGTACCACTTTTATCTACTCTTTCACTGATTTGGATAAGTTCCAGTATAGGGTATTATGAATAGAGTTTTATGAATATTTGCATACTTCTCTCTGGGTATACATATGCATACATTTTTGTTGGGCATATATAATATACCCATATATGTTGTTCATAAGTTTACATATGATTATATCTAGTAGATAACATTTTTCCCAAATGGTGTGCCAATTTACACTATTAAGTAGAAATTGAGAATTCTAGATGGTTAGTGATTACCACTAGTATTCTATCTAGTAAGTATGTGTATCATTATCTTGTAGATTTAATTTGCATTTCTCTGGTGATCCATGAAGTTGAGTACTTTTTCTTATGTTTATTGGCAGTTTACATATTCTCTCATGAAGTATCTGTTAAGTCTTTTGCTAGTTTTTCTGATGAATTATCTTTATTAATTTTCTGAGAAGAGAATATATACAAGACCCTTATCAGAAGTTACAAACATGTCTTTCCTTCTATACATTGCCTATTATTTCCCTATTAGGTTATCATTTGATAAACAGAAGTTTTAAATTTTAACACAGAACACTTTAGAAACATTTTCTGTTTATTAATGTGGCATTTTTGTTTGCTGTTTTAAGAAATCTTCCTTTTTCAAGGTCACGATGGTCTATGAATTCACTTAAAAGCTTGTTATATTTGTGTGTTAATTTGTTCATTTATTTTAGATCTGAAATATATTTGGATTTGAGCTTGTGAATAGTTTGAAGTAGAAGGTAAAGATTCTGTTTTACCATATAGATATGTAATTGATTCAGCACCGCTTATTAATAAGACCAACCTTTTTTTCACTGCAGTTAATCCTCTTTTTTTTCTTTTTTCTTTTCTTTTTTTTTTTTTTTTTTGAGACAGGGTCTCACTATGTAGTTGAGACTGACCTGGAACTCACTATGTAGCCCAGGCTGGTCTTGAACTCACAGCGATCCTTCTGCCTCAGCTTCCTGAGTGCTGGGATTACAGGCATGTGCCACCACACCTGGCCACTTAGTCCTCTTTTAATGGGCTATAAGGAAAATTGTTAGAAAAGGACAGATATTAAAATAATTCACACATGTGTAAATACTGAATAATTTCTCTGGTGTGAAAAACTATAATGGTACATAAGATCCTAATGATATAATTGACAATGTGAAATAGGAAGAAAAATGCTAAAGGTGTAGGGGAAGTGAGAAGGGTAGGGGAAAGGTAACAAGGGAAAAGAAAAAAAATATGAGAAAATTAAAAATGTAAATAAAATATTTGTAAATAGGGAAGGGATGAGGGGGTGAAGGGAGGGCAGGAACAAGGGGAAAAAATGAGAACTAAGACCTGTCATGTAAAGGTGCAAGATCCCAATGATGAATGTAACTGTACTGTATACCTAAAATGTACCAATAAACTCAATGAGAGAAAATAAAATATGTTTTTAAAATTGGAAACTTATTCATTTATTTTTTATTTTTCAAGGCTGATGAGGATGGATGTCAGAATTCAGTGTTTGAGAGCAACATGACGGTCAGTAAACTTTAGCTATTTGGCTTAGACTTCAAATAATATGGGTTGCAGCAGGCCAGATACAGCATAAATATGACCTGATTTCAGAAAAATAAATTGCTTTGTTCTGTGGGTTATTGCCAACTTTTTCCAGGAGTCAAAGTCAGATCATTTGAATTACAATCCAAGTCTTAATCATATACAGAATCTGGCAGATAATTGTATTATGATTCAGTAGCAGAGAAAGAATAAACTGATAATAGTGTTTGTGTGTTTTTATATCTAAGGGTACAACTTGTTTTATGGTCCCTGGTGTTCTTCCTGATACTTTTTACACAGTTAGAATAAGAGTCAAGACAAATAAACTTTGCTACGAGGATGACAAACTCTGGAGTAATTGGAGTCAAGTGATGAGTATCGGTAAGAGAACAGAATTTCATTAAAATTTAAATCATTGAGGCATGGTAACTGAACTGAAGCAGAAAGTCAACTGGGGAAATGGACTGTCAGGCTTTCTTGACAGCAACCAAATAGCACTTACAATTGAAAAGTGTTTTCTGTTTAATTAGCATCAAATCACCCGAGGTTCATTGACAGTGCACAACTATTTGGAAAAACCACAATCCAGCTAGTGGATAGTGTTATTTTCACTCCTGTTGTAGCTCTAGTTTTATTAACAACCTGAACAAAGACATAAAACTCAGGACTGATCGAATATGCAGGCTTTACCATGCCATAAGACTGTCCTGTATGCAGTTGACACAATTAAGGAGGAAACAGAGATCTTGATGGCATTTTATAGAGAAGACCCTATGTCTAGGTTTAAAGAAAAATCACTTATTAGTGGAGATGCTGAGGAAGCCCTGCTCAGGTTCAGGATTGGAAAGACCCGAGCTTTATACACATGCGTGGAGTGGGTTATAGGGCTTCACCTGACTGTGTAAATTCAAAGGGACTCAATGTTGGAACCTTAAACATCCTTGAAAGGCATGTGTGGTCTTGGGCAGCAACGTTAGTGCAGCCCCCAGATCAGGGGTTGCAGTGCTAGTGCAGGGTGGGGCACAGTGATCTGGCCACGTCGGAAATGTGGCACCCCATGCTGACATCCCATGCATGACAGAACAGAATCTCTTCTTGAAAGGGTAATCAGCATGGTGAAGAACCTCACAACTTGGTGAGGTACTTCAAACAACCGAAGTTGCTGTGAGGACTCATAATTGCTGAATTCTAATATCTGTAGTATTATCAGGTTAAAATGGGAATAGGCTTTCTTTTTTTGTGTGATTCCTGGAGGCAACAAAAAACCAACTTAAGAACTTTAAACAGCGTCTAAGACTCAGAGAGATGGGTTGTTGAGCAAGTCAGTTCTCTATTAACTGCTAGGTCAAACAAGCTATGTGACAGGCATGCTTATATTAGCTATCTATAGTTGCAAAGCAAATTATCCCAAAGTTTAGGGGCTCCAAGCAACACACACTTACCATCTTACACTTTTTGTGGGTCAAGAATCTAGGCATAGTTTACCTAGAGGCCTCATGAAGTTACAGTCCAGCTCTACATAGAATTATAGTCTCATGTGATGGCTTGGCCAGGGCTGGAGAATCCATTTCCAAGGCCACTCATATGATGGTCGGAAAGCCTCAGTCCTCAGTGGTTGCTGAATATAGGCTATGGTAGATTGAATCACGTTCCCTCAAAATGATGTGTTTAAGTCTCAGCCCCCAGGACCTATGAATGTGACAGTATTTGAAAATAGAATTTTTGTAGATGTAATCAAGTTAAAATGAGGTTATACTGTATTAGCATGAGCCCTAAATCTAATAACTAGTATCCTTATCAGAAGAAGAAACACGTTGACAGAGATACATAGTCACGCAAAAAGGTGGCCATGTGAAGATGGATGCAGAGGCTGGGGTGATGCAGTTACAGCCAAGGATTCCCAGGAGCCATAAGCATCTAGGAAGAAATGAGGGATTCTTTTCCAGAGCCTTCAGAGGGAACATGGCCTTGTTAACACCTTGGTTTTGAACTTCTAGCCTCCAGAACAATGAGAATAAATTTATGTGGTTTTAGCACCTACTTTGTGGTGATTTGTTACAACAGCCTCCAGAAACTAGTACAGAGGCTTCCTTTAGCTCCTTCCCACTTGAACATCCCCACAGGGTTACCTCCTTTCAGAGAAGCTGCCCTCCCTAGGTGAGTGACCCAAGCAAGAAAGAATGTGTGAGAGAACACCCAGTATGGACACCATGATCTTTTTTCACCTAATATTGAAAGTGACACCCCATCACTGCTGCTGTTTTGCTGTTTAAAAGCAAGGTAGCACAACTCATGCTCAGAGGGAGGGGATTTCACAAGAGTGATTACCAAGAGGCAGAAATCATTTGAGGCCATCTTGGAGGATGCCTAAAACAATGATGTTTGGCCTTGATGATGTGTCCTTGATGATCATGCCATCGTGGGAAAGAGGACCACATAAACAGACAAATGGTATTCCGTGTGTTATGTATAACAGGGTAAGCTTTGGAATGGGTGATGCTATATGATAGACCCGCCCACGTCATGTACTAAACCCTTCTGATGACTTGTTGATCTCTCTGAGCCTTTTCCTTCTTATCTGTATTAACGAGAGATAATACTGTTTCTCTAGCATACATAGGAAATAAACATGTCAAAGCACCTAGTATAGTACCAGACATATACCTGGAGCTCATTTAAGAATAGCAGTAGCAGTAGCTATTGTTAAGTGTTCTAGTAGCGGTAAGCAGTAAGAAAAGGTAGTCGCTGTTACTGAGATGACATATTTAATAGATACGTTATCTTTGTAATAGTGTGTCTAAAACTAATTAAGATGTCATAATTGTAGATAATCCTTTAGGTGTTTACTACCCAGGAAATTCCAGGTACTATAACAGAACATTTTTTAATTATTAAAGACATAGAAATTATCTTTGAAAAATAGGTTGGGCTAGGGAACAGAAGTATCTGTGATTTTACTAGCTAACAAAATTGTTCCTGATTTATTTCTAAAAGGATTCTAGTTCTCATGTCTTTCTATTTGTTTTCCATTTCCTAGGTAAGAAGCCCAGTTTCACATTCTACATGACCATGTTACTCATTGTTCCGGTCATCGTTGCAGGTGTGGTCATTGTCCTTCTGCTTTACCTAAAACGGTAAGCATCAACCCAGAGAGCTTTTACAGTTTCTTCTGCTAGCCTGGTTGCTATGGTTACTATTCTTGGAGCTGGTTTTTATGTTTTTCCAGTGTATTAGAAGCATTTTTACCACAAATGGCTTTTGTGGTATGACACGGCAAAAAAGTACTATTGTGTCCATTTTCTGGTGAGATTAGTTTTCCATGGCTCTGCTCAAACACTACTTTCGTATGGATTTAGCATTGTTGAATAGGCTCTGTGTTCCTTTATTCGTTCAAATGACTAATTTATCAATGGTAGCTCATGGAGTAAAGTTTTAGAAATAGAGGCTGGCAGTGTGTACCTCAAAAGTAAAGCCCAAGCTTAGCATGTGTGAGGCTCTGGATTCAGTCTCCAGCACCAATAAAGAAAAAAAGAAATGAATACCATTGCCAATGAAATGACTTATCTAGTACTAATGCAAAGCAGCGCACTACCTAATGCTGCAGGAATTGAAAACTCGACAGGTTTTCATTCATATATGGTACTCATTCCTTAGGAATATTCTGTTTTCTTTATCTCACTATAGGCACTGTTACTTGCTCTAGCAGTAAAAACCTAAGACTGGAATAAGGCTATTAATCCAGGTCCAGAAGCAACATTTTATATTTCAGTGTTCTTTCATTATGCATATTATACCTCGAATGCCTGTTTATGTGACACGTACTGCTCTAAGTGCTGGTGTTACAGCAGTGAAAAGAACAAGGTTCCTCACTATGTGTGAATTAGTGAGACACACACACACACACACACACACACATTGATTTCACATAGTGAGGAATAAAGTTGGCAAATTGACAAGGGATGGGGCTAGGCAGTGACTAGAGATGCATTTTACATAGAATAGCCAGGGAGATTTCTCTGAGAAAGTAGCAGTTGAAGAGAGAAATAAAATAAAGGAGTGAATCATTAAAATATTTGAGCAAAGAGCATCATAGGCCAACTGACTAGCAAGTGCAAAAGCCTTAAGGCTGAAATAAGCTTACTGTGGGGCCGGGGGTTTAGCCCAGTGGTTCCGCCACCTGCCTCACAAGTGCAAGGTCCCAAGTTTGATCTCTGATACCAAAATAAATAAATAAATAAAAATAAGCATAGTATGTCTGGCAGAGGTAGAGTGTGCAAGAGGGAAAAAGTTGGCAGACCAGACTGTACAGGCCATGGCAAGGAACTGAATTTTTTTCCTTAACACAGTAGGAAATACTGGAGTATTTTAAGCAGCAGAAGGATGTGATCTGATGAAAGGATCACTGTAGTTGCTGAGTGAAGAATTGACTTGTGCAAGAATGGAAGCAGGTAGACTAGTTAGCAGACATTGCAGTGTTTGGAGGGAAAGATGAGGACAGCCTTTTCTAGAGGGTTAGCGATAGAGATAGGAAGAAGTGGTGAGTTTATGCAATATATTTTGAAAGTACAATTGAAAGGTTTGCTGATAGCTGCTTCTCTGTGGAAGTGTGAGGGAAATTGAGGATTCTAGGAAACCCATTAAGAGTTTTGTTCTTAAATAACTGAGCAAGTGTCAACGCCATTTGCCAAGACAGAGAGAATTATGAGGAGTGCTGGCTTTAGGGAAAGCTGAGGACTTCCGTTTTGAACATGTTAATGCCTACTAGGTGTCCAAGTAGACATGTTAAACAGGCAATTGTGTATGTGATTCTAGAATTCAAGTGAGAGCTCTGGATTGGAGATATGACTCCGCGGGGTGGGTGGCTGATATGGAAATGTGTTTGAAAACACTGGAAGAGAGTGCTCCAAAAGTGAGTAAGATACAGAGAAGTAAAAAGGACAAAAGACTGAACCTTGAACCCCACCAATAGGTACTCCCTGAAAGATAAGTCAAGTCCCCCAAAGGGGATTATAAGGTCCAAAAATGGAGACAAAAGAAGTAAGAAGGGGAAAAAATGAAAGAGAAATATACCCTGTCCTCAGATTTTTTTCAAAATTATAAAAAGCAAGCTTCTATCTGGTTTATTAGAAGTACAGCATCAATATTATTTAAATGATGAGAGATATGTAATTACTTGTTTGCTCCACTAAAACTTGATGCTCTTAGTGTTTTTAAAGAATTGTCTTCACCATCGCCTTGCCACTAAAGGAACTTGTGTATTATGACTTTTGCTAAGTCGTGACTTTTGCATACCTTCTTTTACCAAGGCTGTATTTAAGAAGGGGACTCCTATGCAGTGGAAGGTTTGATCTGAAATATATCTGTTTTCTTAAAGGCTTAAGATCATTATATTCCCTCCAATTCCTGATCCTGGCAAGATTTTTAAAGAAATGTTTGGAGACCAGAATGATGATACCCTGGTAAGCATTGAATCCATGGGGGTTTTAAAGTGGTTATATTTTTTGAGGCTACATGATTTTTAAAAATAATGGTAAAATATGCATAGTGTAAAAATCACAGTTTCAACCATTTTAAATGTAAAATTTAGTGCCATTAAGTATGTTGACAATGTTGGGCAACAATCGCGACTATGTATTTCAAGAAATTGTTCATCAGCCCAAACAGGAAATATGTTCATCAAACAATAGCTCTCCATTCCCCCATTCCCCTGCCTCTAGTAAGCACTGTATACTTCCTGTTTCCATGGATTTGCCTATTCTAGATACCTCATTACGTGGAACCAACAATATTTTTTTCTTTTTGTGCATGCTAATTTCAGTTCGCATCACATTTTCAAGTTTATCATGTTGTAGCGTGTACTAAAATTTCATTTCAAAGTTTTTTTTGAACTACAGTTTTATTTAAAAAGATTAAAGCAGAGCTGATTTAGGGTATATCTCAGGTCAAACATACCAGCTGAGAAGTCCTTAGAACACTTGGCCCATTTGAGATCATGAGGCTGCATTCTTTTTTGAGGTAAGGGGCATATTTTACCCGACATGCAGGCAGAAGAGCCTCTTTTGTGAAGGTAGCCTAATAGACAGGGCTTCTGACTCTTAGCCAATTTTTAAAATTTGATACAGGAAAATATATAGTGCAATTGAAATACACTTTGGTTGTGCCATTGCAAGGAAAGTTGGACTCCAAATATTTGAAAGTAGAAATAGGCCCACCCCAACTGTTAGAGTTGGTTTCCAGCAGACTCCAAAGTTAGAACTGTGACTAGAAAACTGAAGCATTATTGGAACAAAAGAGTTTGAGATGTCTGTGATAAATACATTCACCCTAATGAAATAATAAAGACAGTAAATGAAATAAATACCAATATGACTGTATATTTTAAATTAGTACTAATAGGCATAAGACAGTTAACTTAAGGAAGTAGCACGGAATAGTAGATAATAACCCAGGCTCTGGAGTCAGATTGTCTGGATTCAAATGTCTGTTGTGTCATTTACCATCTTTTTAACTTCAAGTAATTTCTTTAGCCTCTCTGTGACTCAGTTTTCCTATTTGTAAAGTAGAGGTAACAACAGCACCTCTCTCATAGTTTTATGTGGATTGAATTAATTTAATACACAGTAATTAACTTAATATAAACTGGTTAGCATGCCTGGCACATTGAACGTGCTTAATAAGCATTGATGATGAGTCTTAATATTGTTAATCATTTCCATCTGTCTTTATTGCCAAAATGATTCTTGTAATAATGGTTGATTCACAATGGCAGAAATGCTATTTGGCTAGGGAAGGAAAGCTGGTAAGGATGGAAGGTTGGTAGACTACCAGAAAATTCTTTGGGATCACTTTTTTCACCAGTTCTCCTTCACAGACAGTGGGGATAGGGCACCTCTAGGCAGATAGGTCTGGGAGTCTGGTGCCTGATTGCACACTGTAAGTGGGGCAAGTGAGGCAACCAGTGGTTCTTCAACTTTGAGTTACAATCAAATGAAATGCTTTTAAGAAATACAGATTCCTGGGCCTTGCCTCCAGAAATTCTGATTCAGTGATTCAAGAGTGAGGCCCAGGCATTGGCATATTTCACAGAAGCCCACAGATGATTCCTATCATGCTATGGTAGTCTATAGGAGGAGTGGGGTCTCCAGAAGGGGTGGCAGGCACTACGTTTAGCTATGAGGTGACAAGAACCCTCTATAACAGTCCAAGAAGCACAGCAAGGAGATGTATGAAGAAGATAAGATCTTCAAGCAAAAACAAAAAGAGGAGCAGAAGAAACTCAAGGAGCTAAATATAAAAGTTGTTGAGAAGATCCCTCTGGCCAGAGGTGGAACTTAAAAATCTGACGAAAAGTAAACTTCCTTTTGCTTGCGATGACAGTGACCCTTGATTCCACTCCTATGTAAATGTCTGGATTCCCTGCCATAACATTTTTTGCCACCTATAGTTAGAATGAAGTGTTGTCTTGCACTATGTTGTACATTTAGGAATAAATATGATGACGATGATGATGATGATAGTGATAGTCAGCTAGTCTGTGGTCCACAATGTGAAATCACTGTTAGAGATATTTTCCCTTGCCATTACTTCTTTCTTAATTTCAACAGCTACTATGATAGATGCTGGAAGTTGGGAATTGTGCAAGTACAATAACAACTCTAACCAATTATTGAAAGTGTACTGTGTTCCAGGCTGTGTAACAAGTGCCTTGCTTACTTTACTGAATCCTCCTACCTATCCTATGGAGTAGGTGCTGTCAATATTACTTTACAGATGAGGAAATGGAGCATCAGTGAGGCTAACTATGGTCACACAGCTAGTTGGTGCTAAGGTAGGATTTGACCCAGGACTGTCTAATTCCAGAATTCTCTTACTCTTTCTACTATGCTGCATTGCCTTTTAAGCAGAGTGCTTGTTCTCAAACATATCAATGTCTCCTAAGAGTCTTGTATGGCAGAAGTAGAGTTTGGATAGGAGAATTCTGAGAAAAATATTTGAGGTCGCATTATGAATAGCTTACAATGGAAAGGTATTAGGAATATTACTCTATCAACAGTACAGGCAAGATAGTATTAGAGAGAAAAGGCACTAATGTGGTAGCAAACTGAATTGCCCCATTAGATGCTTTGTTTGGCGTGTATGATATATTTAAATTTTTTCCATTTGGAATCTTAGGCAGGACATGCGCTCTCTGATTCATCTCAGGCCCTACCATTCCAATTTCCCACTGTGGTTTCACCCATTGACCTAAATGCTAGACCTCTGAAGAGTTTGCTACTCTTCTTAGGATGGAAACTAGTTGATTTTGAAATACCAGGACAGAAATGCCCAATATCTGTACAAACATGTGAATTTACCAATATACATAAGACATCCAAACCACAGCCTTGATGAGATATACATTTCTCGCCTAATGAATTCCTAAAAAGAGCCAATATTTAGCTTGTAACAAGTGGATAGGAAGTAGCACTTTTTATGCATTGCTGAAAGGCCTGGAATAGGGTATACTGTGTGAGTATCTGTATTAGTCAGCTTTCCCACTGCTGGAGCACAATATCCAGTATCCACAACTTAAAGGAGGAGAAATTAGCTCACCGTGTGAGGGGAATCAATACATGCTTGGCAGGCTCCAAGGCATGAGCATCATGGCAGAAGGGCATGGTGGGGAAAAGTTGTGTGGGAAACAGAACAGAGGAACAGCACCAGAGAGGGACAAGGACTAGGTATAATACACAGCATCATGCCTCCATGACCTACCCAGATACACACCAAGAAGCGTGTTCTAGTAGTCCTCTGGCCAGCTCCCAAGCCAATCAAGTTGACAAGTTGCACAATTAAGCTTAACTTTCACACTATGCCTTATTCAAAATATTTCTGACCTGAAGTATTTAAGATCTTGGAATTATTTATTGGATATCTGCGTAGACTTTGCTAGTTGAATATTCCTAATCTAAAAATCTGAAATCTGAAATGCTCCAGAATAATAAAAAAAGTATTATGTCAGTGCTCAAAGATTCAGATATTTACTGGGCATAATAATGCATATTTGTAATCTTAGCTACTCATGGGGCTGAGGCAGAAAGATTGCAAGCTTGAGGTCAGCCTAGGTGACTTAGAGATACCCTGTCTCAAAAAAATAAAAGGTAGTCCTGTAATTATACTTTATACTTTTAGGAATAGATTTTAAGAAAATAACCCAATCGTAGCACAAGGATGACTAATACATAATTTGTTTTCTAACATGAAAAATTAGAAACCATGAATCATCAACAATCAAGAAAATCAAGAATTTAAGAAAGATTAGGTTTCAAAGAATTTACTGTATTAACACAATACTCATGAGAGGAAGAAACATTATAAATGTGTAGCATATTGTAATCCTAATTGTTACACAAGTGCCCTAATGCACTCACAAAACAATGAATGGGAGGAAATGGGTCAGAATGAATGATTGTCTGTAGGCAGAGGGACTGTGTGTAACTGATATTCTATTGGAAATTTCTGAATTGTCTCTAATTAGATATATTAGTTTTATAATAAAAGAAAACCAGGACAAGTCATTAATGAAGAGAATATTGTAGACATCCAGGACTCTGAGATAATATGGACTTGAATTTAGATGTTACCAGGGGAGATTGATGTAAGGGACATCATTAAAAGGAAACTCATTATGACATGGTGACTCAATGTGGATGATAAAGGCGGAGAGAGTAAAAAATAATTTTAGCTTTTCAGGTCTGAGTGATAAAGTGTATAATGGCAACATTGAGAGCAAAATCAGATCAATTATCTTTCTCAGAGATGAGCAAATTGCTTGATTTCAATTTGCTGTCTAGAGGATAACATGTTGTTTTTGTCCCAGTGATTCAGATAATTCTGCAGTTTAGTAAGGTGGGTATACTGACATGATGGACCATTGAAAGCCTAAGTGTTTTGTTCAGAGTGGCTGTAGACCAGTAAACACAATCAGTTCTCTAACGTGGAAAATATAATAAACATATCAGATATAGGAAAGGGTAAAAGAACAAATTTTCATGTGTACTTTTAACCAAAGGTATAATCTACTTTCTTTCCATGGCTGCACCCCTCACAAATTGAACTGCATATGCAAGAAGTCTAACCTTTCACTTCTCCCATCACGGAGTTAGGGAATGAAATTCATCTACTAAGATGGATGTTTACATCTTTATTTCCCTTTAGTTCCAGGTTTTCAAAACTCTAGATTCTCTTCCAACTTCCTTACTTTGGAAATGGGGACTTTTTAGGGATCACAGAGAAGTTTCTCAAGGATTTTCCTATGGAAAGGGAACTGCAGAACCAGGACTAAAACCGGGTAGCCCATAGTTACTAACACCTATCCAAAGAAATAATCCAAATCCTTTTAAAACACTCTTTACTTTCACACTAAACCATCAATAGTACTTCTTTAAAAAAGTTTAGATATGGCCGTGAGTAAATTAAA